GGGGGAGAGTGGGGGAGAGTGGGGGAGTGTGGGGGAGTGGGCAGCAGATAAGATTTAAGTTATTACGTCAGTGAGTTAAAGAGAACAGGACACGTAATTGGAATTTAACAACCCAGAGTCAGTTAGTGTGTGATTAACCTGAAGAAAGGTTATCACACAGCTGTAGATCTGATCCTGAGTCAGATCAGTCCACACACACACACACACACACAGAGACTCTTCAGTTTCAGCTGCTGTCGTTTAATGGAAACACATGGATAAAAAATGAAGACATTTTAGAGACAAAGTTTTTTTTTCATATTCATGTTTTCTTTAGTTCTTTTGTTGCGGATTTTCTTTTTTCTTTTCTTTTTTTAGTATGAACTAACTTTTAGTTGTTGCTAACCTTTAGCTATTCTGCTGTACTTTAGATAAACCCTGGTTATAGGTAACTTTGTTGATTTGTTGAATAAAGGTTTAGCTAACCTACTTGGCTAACTGTTGCTAACATTTAAATAAATACTGCTTGGCTAACTGTTGCTAACATTTAAATGAATACTTTTAGCTCTGGGCGACGTTTAACTTTTTCATGACTTTCTCTCTAATTAGCTTCAAAGTAAGAGAAAGTTCCATGATCGGTTCTACATGTGCTGTTCACATTAGGCTGAGTTTGACCTCGTTGACCTTAGGTCTTAAGTCTATCGATGACCATGTGTCAAACAGTTCCAGGTCCAGAATCATTTGAGGCCTTGGAACCGTGTGGCGTTCAGTTGTTTTCCCCGACAGAACCAACCATCTTCACCGTCACGCAGACGCCACGAGGTCAGAGCGACAGCATTAACACCATGATTCACCGGTCAATAAAGTTCTAATCACATTTTCCTCCATTCCACTACAACTGCAGGACATCCTCACCTCTAATGAGATCCTTCCATTTATCAGCAGTTGTGCGTTCTGACCTCACTCCTCACCCCCTTCCTCACCTCCTCCCACTTCCTCAGCATCACTGATACAGACCTGCTTGTTGCTTAGAAACAGGGTTCGGCTCAATCCGAGCTCCTGACCAAACAGAGCCTGCAGTCCCTGAACAACCTCGGTCACATCAAAGCAAAAATCTGATTTTTAAAATTGCTGTTTGGGGGACGTGGATGAGGGAGGGGTGAGGAGGAGGGGGGGGGTTCAGCCAATGATCTGAGGCTGGATATAAATGTATGCAGAGTTTAAATCCATCTCAGCCTCAGCAGAGACTCCCTGTGTATTTTCCCTGCTCACGTTAGAAGGTGTTTCCTCCAGTCTGGAGGTTGGTGTTTTGGTCCGGTCCCGTCTGTTGATCCATCCTCACAATTAAAGTCCAATAAAATCTCTGGCTGCTCTCATTAAAGAGGCCGAACGAGAAAAGTCTGCAGCCGATCTGTTTTCCTTCACTTTCTCCACCGATTAATGACGGCGTGAACTGCAGCAGGGATCGGTTCTGCAGTGGAACCGGCACGGAAACCTTCACACCGACCTGGTACTACAGTAACTCACCTCATCTTCCACTGCATCAAACTTTTACTTCAACTTTCTTCCAGACCTACGACCTTCTTCTCTGTCTGGTCTGAGGACTGAACTCCACTTCCTGTAAAAGTTCTTTCAGTTTTTGAAGCCTCCTGGTCTGGAACATAAAGATGTAAAGCCGGTACCGTCCTGCAGGTGTCTCAGTGGACACTGCCGGACTCGAACACTAACAAACCACACAGCAAACATTAGCTGTGACCAAACACTGGAGTCCAATTATCCGGCATATTCCACAGATTCTATTCATGTATTCAGTCAGAACAACAGGCTGTGCATACACAAACATTCACGACGTCCACTGAACCAAAGGTGCTGCTGTTGAAGAACAGCCAATAACAGACTGTATCTCAGCCATGTAATAGGGTGTAATGACGCCTGTGATTATCAGTGCCAAGGTGGCAGCGCGGCCACCGCCGTTTAACTCTGGGGTGAAACGCCGGCGTTTAGTCTGAGGCTATAAACTAATGTAGTGTTAGGGAGCAGACAGAGCAGCATAAACAAGGCAGGACGTCTGCCCCCGGGGCTGCAGCGGGTCCAGCAGATAAAACAAGAGCTAATGAATATTCAACTTTTATGGAGCTCCTCTTCTGCCTCTGTTCCAGACTGAACGTCTTCTCGCCTCCCTGTCCTCGTGTCTGAGGAACAAAGGTTCACCTGAAAGAACAAACTGGAGATTTGAAGCGTAAAGAAACAAAAAGAAATGTTTATAAAAATGACGACGAGGCCTAGTGGTCGTAGGACTGCAGTACAGGCTCCCACGAGACTGTTATTATTATTATTATTATTATTCACCATCTGCATATAATAATACAGGCCACACAGTGGTAGAGTGGTTACTGCTCCTGCCTTACAATCAGAAGGTCATCGGTTAAATCCCCAGTTTAAACTGCAGTTCTTTTTAGATGGAGTTTAGGTGCTCTCAGTGTGTGAGAGTGTGTGTGAGCGTGTTCTTGCTACAGTCTAAAAACTGTTGTTTACTGCTGAGACTCCAGCGACTCTTACCAGGAGAGGGAAGGAGGGGGAGGAGGGATGGGGGAATTTAGTTAGCAGGAAATTGGCCACTTCATTCAGGTGTAAGTGCAGGAGTCTACAGAGCCATTTGGTTCTGCATCAGAGCAAAGTTCTCATTAAAGCAGCGGTGGAAAAGGATGAGAGTGGGTCTGGCGGAGGAGGCGAGCAGGAGCGGCGGCTGACGGAAAGTGGAACAGAGAGTCTGGATGTGGCCGAGGTTCCAGGAAATGTTCTGAAAAGTTATGAAAAAAAAATGAAATTAACTCACATTTAGAACCGGAGCAATCGTTTAAACGGGGGAGATAATTGAAGGCTGAGAAGAAAAGATACTCTGCCCTCCCTTTAATATTGTACCTTCATCATGTCGGGCGAAGAACTGAATCTCTCCGTGAAGAATTCTCACACACTTCACACTCACTTCCTCTGGCGTTCCATGTTTAATTCATTCACACCTTTCATCGCCTGCAGCGGGAAAATCACATCTTCCTCCACAGCCTGGGAGTCGGGGAGGAGTGAGGTGAAGATGGAACTCTGACTTGAGTCTTTTCTCTATTTGACTTGATTTTCTACTGCAGTAGAACTTCATTCCACCTGGATGATTATTATATTTAATACTTTGTTTTTATTGTGGAGAAAAGTGTTGTTGGTACTGTTCTAAAAACTATGTGTGTTTCTGTTTTTTAAAAAACCTCCAACTTCTGGAACGTTCTGATTTTCTGGAGTCGTCATCACGTAGACCACGCCCTGAGGGACACAGTTGTCCTTCTGTCTCTATGACATTGACTTTTCCCTAATGGACCCACCAGGAAGTCCAGGTGCATTTGGAGACTTTTCGATCCCTCAGTGACTGAGACACCAGTTCTGAGGAAATCAGATCTGTTCCGTCCAAACAGTAAAATATTTTAATATATGTCGATGACTATATCATTATAACACTGAGTCAAAATGACCAGGGTTAATAAAGGTCAAAGGTCAAGACTGGTTGTAGCTCCTCAGTTTTTCTCCACCATCAGCTCCAACAGGGAAGAACAGAACCTCCATCAAAACAAACACTTCTGTCTCTGGAACAATGGAACGTGGGCTTCACTGGAAACACAACAGGTCTTTGTGGCGTCCTGACAGCTGAGTCGGCTACGTCTGCTGTCAGTCACCACATGAACGCTACTGAATACAACGGCGTTCCCGTCGGAGGACGTTCTGATGTTCCCTCCATGTCACAACGTCTTTTTCTGCTCAGTGACATCCACTTCTTATTAAATCTCATAATCCACAAGTTGAAAATGCCAAAGCCACACAGTGCAGGAGTGGTAGGAGCACTTGCCTTACAGCCAGAAGGTCACGAGTTCTCTGGTTTGATTCCCTGATCTTTCTGTTGTGTTTGTTGGTTTTCTCCAGGTTCTTCCTCAGTCCAAAAACATAGAGATTGGAGAAGGCGTGATGCTCACTCTATAGTGACTGTAGCTGTGAATGAGTGTGAAAAAATGCCCCTAGTGGCCGTTCATTTTCAGCACCTACGACTCCATTTAAAGTACAGAGAGATTTTGTCCAAGTGTGTTTTTATTTAAAAAGAGTGTTTTTGTTTTTACATGACTTCACTTCTGTATTTAGCCCTAACTCACTTCTTCTGCTTCTTCTTTTTTTTTTTTTTTTACAACTCTAGTACAAGTCTATTCACAGGACCCACCTACCAGGAACATACATTTTCACACGGGCCTTGGATTTAATTACAAAATTACTCCAGAAATGTCTCCAGAAAAAAATAAAACTAATACAGATCCATGACTGGGAGATAAATACATAAATACACAGGTAAATAAATAGAAGAATAAATAACGTTTAAAACATCATTGGCCAAACTCAGGCGACTTCCCCGGCCCCCCCCTGCAGGAGGCGCCGAAGTCCTGGTGAATCCTAGTCTCAGGATCCTGGATCAGTTCTTGATGAGGAAAACCAGTTGACATGTGAGGAGTGACAGAACAATTATATTGAGGCACTTATAAATATGTTGTAGGAAATGACGACACAGTGTGTCAGTGGGAATGAGGGTGTTCCACCACAGGAAGGTCCACATGCAGCCTCCAAAACAGTACCAGGAACTGTGTGGTACCTACAAGCATTAGTTCTAAATGTGAGTCATTTTCTGTAGAAAGAGGACAGAAAATGTTGGCTTCAGACTAAACATTACTGCCCGATTGGTACTAATGCAGCCCAGTTCTAGTGGCCCATTTCTGGCACATATCAGTGTGGAATGTTGGCACTTGGGTGGTCCACATCTGTTGACTCAATATTGGCAGTGACCCACAGCACTACCACTGGTCTGACGAGAGCACTTATGGGCCAGAAGAACTGAGGGCCAGCTCATCCAGCCTACATGTGGGCCGGTTCATCTGACCATTACAGATCCCGGCGAAATTCTAGGCCACATCTGCACATCTGCCAGAAAGGACTAATGTTTGTTCAATGTAATTTTGGCCCCTTGGGTCACTGGGCTGCAGTCCACTTCGCCTGGCCCAGATACAAACTGGCAGAGCTGCATTGTTGCATAAAGTGGGCCACATCCCACAGTTTCCTGTGCACAGTAGACCACTCAGAGCAGAAACTCTGTTGGCTGTGATAACAGCGTAACATCCACGTACTGACAGTTCCTGGTACTGTGGGTCAGATCACATCCTAGGTGTAGTGAGAAAAGTGACGTCCACCTGGTGTGGCAGGTTAACGTTCCGTCTTCTGATAATCTGTACGTCTCCACGTTCTTAACAACTTGGGGGACAGAGACAAATTAGACAAATCATCGACGTGGAAAACTGAAAACAAATCAGAAAAAAAAAGATGTGATGAAACGTCCGTTGTTCCCCAAACAGAAGGATGTCGTTACATGTCAGCTGTTGGAGTCACTGTGCAGCGTCAGTGCGTGTTCTCTGTGGCTGTTGAGTTCGACCGAGTTTCCGACTGTTCCCCGAAAATCCCTGCCAGTGTCTTAAAGCTGGGCCCCCACTCGCTGAGGTAATCGTACTCCTCCTGGACGTCCACGGTGCGGGACTCGATGGAGCTGAGCGACTCGGCCACAGAGCCGTCGCCCTCGTAGGCGTACGTGGCCAACGAGTCATAGGGCGGGGCTGAGTTGTCCGTGTCGTGTTCTTTCAGACGTTGGCTGATAAAAACCCGGATGTCGGCGCTGTCCTGAGACACCGGGGGCCGGCGGTCCATCTTGGTCTCTGGCTTTACGTCCCTGCGGAAGAGGTTGTCCTTGACGACCTTGGGGTTACGCAGGGTTCCTATGTCGAAGGCGTGCGTGTCCTCCTCGCCGCCTCCCTCGTCGTCGTAGTGGATGACGTTGTCCCTGATGTCCTCCTTAGAGGACATGAGGGTTTCCTTCTTCTTCTGCCGCCTCAGGCCCACGTACAGGACCACGATGACTGAGGGAACACAAGGAGGAGGGGTCTGAGGTTAGAACAGTTCTAAACAGAATTACTTTGAGCCTCGGCGTAGAAGTGAATCCCTGGTGATATTTTATTTTATTTTATTTGACTTTGTCTCGTGCTGCAGGTAAAACGCTGACTCAGCAGCACACATTTCCATCTATTTTTACCCGCTGAGATTCCAGCCTAAACACACGGCTGATTTTTTCTGCATGCACACTGTTCGACATAAGCTGGAGGTCTGTCAACTGACTTGGAGGTGCACGGCACCACTGGGGTCATTTGTAACACGTGATGTTACAATACATTTCCTCCTCTCCTTCCAGTCTGCCTGTGTTTCAGCCTCTGGGTATTTTTTAAATATACTGTTGTATCTCAGAGGAAGAGCGATGACAGGAATAAAACTGAAGTCATTCAAATGAAAGAGTCCAATAAGAAATAAATACATCGAGAGTAGAAATGAAAAAAAAAAACTCATCAGTTGGTGACTGTTTTCTCTGCTGCTCCCTCCACCGTCAGCAGGATTTTATCTCCCTGTCGATACGCAGTGTATCAGCGCCATCCAGTGGCCACTTTTTCGAACTTCACTAGTGAACTGCACTAATAAGTAAATGGCTGCAGAGAAAATCAACATCAGTATTAAAGATAATTATTCATCTCCGAGTCTCGGAGTCTGTTCATTCTGCGTCATCGTCGCTGCAGCAGCAGAACCAGAGTAACTGTGTCAACGTGACCAACCTGCAAAGACCGAGGGTTTATGTCAGTGTTCCGTGGAGCGGTTGTCACGTTTTATCTGCCTCACCCCAGGGTGCATTCAGCTATAAAACACAAATCTGACAGTTCTTAGGTAAAATCTGCCTTTTCTTTAGTTTTAGGGTTTTATGTTTTTTTTATTATTTTTTATTTTTTCAATTCAGAGGCTGGAACATTTTTTTCTACTCTCTTCTTTTGAATCAACCAACTAGTCTTAAAAAAAATCAATGCCAAAGTTTTGTCTTTTTCCTGAGAAGTTTACAGTTTACAGTTGTTTTTTTAAATTTGACCTTGACGAGTGGACGGACACAGAGAGACACAGTCCACTTTGAAGGACGTGTCCTCTTTAAAGAGAGAAAAGTCATCAGGTCTCGATCCAAAGGTCACGGTGACTCTCCACCTTAGCTGTAAAATGACAACTTTAACAACCCATCATCCCACGTTCATACTCCAGAAAACGACGTCATAAACTGACATTTACTTCCTTCACTGCTATGCAGATGAGTTTGGACATAAACGTGGTAGGTGGGTGGGGGGGTGAGGGAGGGAGGGAGGGGAGTTTAATACCAATGACCTTGTATTAAAAGAGAACCTGCTTTAGTTAATAACACAACACCGTTTCCTCTGCCTCTCATCTTATAATATCTGACCTTGAATTTTAGTTTGAGTTCCTGTGTTGGAACTTCACATAGGACTAGTTTCTGCAGTAGAAATACACATGGTTCTACACTGGTCCTGGCTGGTACTTAACAAAGGTTACAGGACAGAAAAACAAAGCTAATGGTAGTTGTTCTAGTTCCTGCAACAAAGGTTCCCACTGTGGTTCCGCCAGAGATGTTGACACCGACTTGATCCACACTTAGTATCAACTCAAGTATCAGAAAAAAAAACAATTTTCACCTTAAAACTGTCTGACTTTCATGGTCACAGGGGTCAATGAATTTTGATCCAACTGCTTGTCAAAGGTCAGAAAGACAAGCGGTGGATTCGAGCTGCAAGGCATTCTGGGGTTCTGATAGTTTACGGTGCTCTCACCTAATAAGATGACGATGCAGAGGAGGATGGCGATCAGCGCTCCTGTGCTCAGGCCCACGGGCAGGAAGATGGCCTCTGCACTGCAGGTCAACAGAGAGCCGTCCGTCTCACACCCACAGACTCTGATGGTCAACGTTCCGGTGCTGCTCTTCGGCGGGTATCCGTTATCTTCGATCAGCACAGGGAGGAGATAGGTCTCCTGCAAACGCCGTCGAAAACCGCTGCGCTTCGTTACGATCCCAGCTGTGTTGTCTGAAGGACAGGGAGGACAAGGAGACAAGGAGACATTCAGCAACATGTAGGGCCTACTGTACGTCACTTGGCACCAACCAGAGGGGGCAGGAGGCCTCTAGGGGGCAGTTGACGCCAACCTGAACTATCAGAACTTTCTGTTTCTGCAGTTGTTTGAATGTTTTTTCTGTGAAGGAATCAAACATCAAGAGTGGAACAGAAGTTGACAATGGACACGAGAAGACATGATAGCTCAGATTTAGACATGTTTGCTGAGAGCCGGCCGGTTCTGTCTGCTACAGAGAGACGTTCAGAACCATCATAGACCACGTCCGTTCCCCCGACCAACTCCAGCACACTTTCCTGACAGAAGGTCAGAAGTTTGAGCACACCTTGCATGTCCGTGCACTGATTTGTTATTTCTCTGTGTTCCTGGACTCTGCCCTCCCTGTTCCTGCAGTCCTTACCCATCAGATCCTGAGCTACGTGGGACGTGAGCGGTCAGGGGAAGACGAGACAGTGTGTCCAAAAAAAGGTAAACATCGGCTCAGAGGTGCAGAGCGAGGTCTCGTCAAGGATGGTGAACGCATTCGTTTCCTGACACGCTCCTCTTTTTATTAACAGTCTTTCTGGACAGACTTTAGAGAGCTCGACCTCCAGTCGTCACGAGGAATCAGAAACACAGCATCAGACGACGGGTTCTCACTGGATCAGTTAGTTAGTTAGTTAGTTAGTTAGTTAGTTAGTTAGTTAGTTAGTTAGTTTACTTTTCTATGGTCAGTACCTGGATTATATGCCCTCTGTATCCAGTGGCCCACAATATTAGGTGTTTTTTTTTGTGCCAACAGTGGCCCAGTTTCGTGGCCCATGTCGGGCACTCAGTGGTCCACTTGTGTTTATTTAGTTGGCTATAGTTAAATGTATATGTGGCCCAGGTATTTAGTTGAATTAATTTGGTATCCAGTGGCCCACATGTACATCACACGTAGGTTAGATACCATTATTTTTTTTTTTTTTTTTTGCTCATCGATCGTCTGTTCTAAACTGTCATTCAGGTTTTGTAGATATCTGTTCGTTAAAATAGAAGAGACTTACTCCCAAAGTCCCTGATGGTGAAGTTCTTGTTGCCCTTTGAATCTTCTTTCACTGATTTGAAAGAGAACTGTTGTCCAGGTGGCGCCACATCCTGGTCTTTTGCACTGAAGGTTTGAATCACCTGAAAAATAAAAACAAATCCAAAGAATTAAAGGTTACGTTACATGAAACAGACTCACGCTAATCATGTGGCCCACAGGTGTGGGCCACTTCTTCTAGGCTAACATTGATGTGGGCTACAGTTGGCTGATAGTTGTTGAACACCCTGACACCTGCTGTAACTACAGGACAAAAAACAACGTCAACATCCGACCAGTGCAGCACGATCTGGACCAACTGTGTGAGAAACTCCAGTCTGTTTCAGCAGTAAAGTCGACTCCTCTGAGCTCGGACACAGAGAACGCTGACTCAGTCTCCTCTGTACAGACTGCTGACGTCCTCCTCTGCTCCCCAAAGGTCCTGGAACTGTTTTTAGGAGCAGCTGACCTGACAGAGCACAGCTGTGCTAACAGTCTGCTCTGCACCTGACCCGCAGGCACCCTGTTACACCTCTGATCCTGGTTCTGGTTCTGGTTCTGGTCCCAAATGTCATCCTGGTGTCTAATGAGACCTTTAGTTTTTATTTCTCATTTTCACTTTTTCTCACTGTTAAAGTGACAGTTAAAGTCAATATCACTAATGTAATGTTTGGAATTGTTAGCTAATAATTGAAAGTTATATCACAGTTTAGCAAACAATACCTAGTAGTGACTAGTAACTAGTAATAGTTACCTCCCAGTTACCTGGCCCAGTAAATGTCACTGTAAATAAACCTGGTGTTAACCCTCATCTGTGGGGGTTATTGTTTGTCCTGTACTTCCTGTCTTACAGCTGTTTGGTCGTTCGACAGGATCACAGCAACGTCTTTAAGGCTGTAAATGTAAATGTGGTCCCAGCATCATAACGCAGCGACTCAGCTGGTTAGCATTGCAATGTGCCGTTGAAGGAAACGCATTAAAGGAGCAGAAACACATTAGTCAGAGTGAACGTTTGGCCTTGTTAAACTCTGGGTTTTTTCTTTCTTTGTGGCTGCTTTTTCTCATTTCACACTTGACCAGCCGAGCACTCAGCTGCTGAGGAGACGTAAATAAGGTGCATTAAAAATGAGGAAATATTCCATTTCCTACTGAGCTGACCTTTGTTAAACTCCCCGCTCTTCTCCTCACATTTACATGGGTCTAATCACTCCCTGCTCCTGCTCCACTGTTAGATACAAGAAAGTTCCAGAGCTAATGGTTTGTGCCTTATTTTAATGCATTATTGAGCAGTAAGTGTTGGAGTAATCACTGAAGAAGAACTGGAATTAATTTTAGTTTTCCTTTCTCTGCAGCTCCGCAGCTGTGACCAGCACCTGCTGGTGGAGTCTGGCCATGCAAACGTGGAGAAAGTGTGGATTCAGCTGCTGAGGCTAAGAGGGGATAAAAGGAGGTGAGGCTAAAGATTAAAAGTTTGTGAGTAAGAAGCTGGATTTTGAGTATGAGGCGGAGGAGGATGGTGGAGACTTCAGAGCAGAAAATACAGACCAAACAACGACCGGACCTTATGAAGGGGGAGCAGAGGATTTCTGCTGCTGGTTTTATACAGTTCATTCAAAGATTCCACAAAGAAAATAAAACAAACAAAAAATAAAGGTTAAAAACGTTGATGAACCATCTTCAACCGTCTTGTTCTTCCGACTGATTAGATCCATCTCCTGCTCCAGGACTGAATCCTAGTTTCAATCTCTCACTTCAATGATGTAAAGGACTGATGAAACATGACCCGAGTCTTCAGACTGGGCCGAGTCAGATTTAAAATAATTTGATTTGTGCTTTTCACGTGCTTGTCTGCAGAGTGAGTGAGGTGTGAGTTGGGCACAGATTCCAGCAGTTGGTTCTGTGAGGGATCGGTTCTAACGGAGCGCAGGAGCAGAAACAAACAAACACACGATAAGGACCTCCTGGGTTTGAGGAGGATTTTCCTGCAGTTTGATCCACAGCCGGGGGAGCAGCTTGGTCTCAACCCTCGGTGCAGGGAGACGCTGCTCAACGTGCTAATTTACAGGCATGGCTGCTTTACAACACACAGGGGGAAAATCTCCACAGCGGGTGAGATATATATCATCTGCTGTGGGAGATTCCAGGTTCCAGGTCTGGAAATGTTCTGCTCTGCTTCGTTATCTCCTCATCTGTGGACTCCAACCAGGGGAGAAACAGTTTCTGTGTCCGTGACAGGAATAAACAAAGAGGGAGCAGAGATAACACAGGGTTATACACACCTGTCCTGTTTTGGCGTTTTCACACACGAAGGTCTCGTAAGGAACGGACAGTTCAGGTGGAAACTCGTTGATGTCCAGGACGTGGACGGTGACGGCGACTCGGCTGCTGAGGACTGGACTGTCTGAGGGAGAAAAAAAAAAAAAAAAGGTTAAACTCTAAAAATAAGTGAAAAATAAAAAAAACATGATTATTGAAAACTGTGGGGTGAAAAAGAAAAACATGATTATTGAAAACTGTGGGGGGGGGGAAAGGAAAATGAATGACCTCAAAAAATGAAATTACACAAATTACATCTGCATATGTACAGAATAAAATAAAATAAAGTATTGAACAAAAATATTTTTTAAAAATAGCACTGAATTAGCTATTTTAACAACCTAGCCAGAATATAGAGAATAAATAATAATACATATAACGTCAATATTGAATAAAAGGTTTTGTATTTATTAATTAATTTTAAATACAGCTGTCAAATAAGGAAAATAAGTCACTGGAGAAAAAAAAATCTGAATCGTATATGTGGCGAAGCCCCGCCCACCGTAGCCGACGTCACAGGCCTAGGTTCGTTAGCGCAGGTGTTTCTCCCACAGGTAAATCAAGCACTGAGTGTTTATAAGGATTTCTAAGGATTTATTTAAGTGTTTATGAGGAATTTTAACGGTTCATTTAATGGTTTATACGACAGAAATGAGAAGCAGAAATATGTCCGTGAGGAGGAGCAGGAACAGGAACAGAACAGGAGCAGAACAGGAGCAGGAACAGGAGCAGGAACAGAAGCAGAGCAGGAACAGAAGCAGAGCAGGAGTCGGTGGTGAGTCATATTAGTTATTATTTTCTCTTATTTGAATCACTCTGTGATTGTACTGTAGTTCTATAGGGCTGTTGTTGTTATTGTTGTTGTTGTGTTGATGATGCGCTTGGTGCAGCGTTTAATTAGAGCCGGATCCTGCCGGAACCGGAACCTCCGTGTCACAATGAGAAAAAAAAAAAAAAATACAATGATTTTCTTTTAGTCGGAACTACTCGTTCTTAATGTCCAGACACGCCTCGTTTTTTTTTTTTTTTTTTTACAAATTACGCACTTACGCATGCGAGTGTATGTGCGTGTGTTTGCAGCGACTTTATGCACATATCTGTACCCTACATAAATTCAAAACTAACCCCCTGGTGGAAACAAGGGGAATGACAAATGCTTAGAATACGTGAGTCACTGTTACAGGTCTGGTTAATAGTTCTGTTATATTTAATCCTGTTTCTGTCTCTGTGTGTTTGTGTGCAGTTTTACAGTAGAAACCAGGTGTAGCGTTGCATCATGGTACATTGTGTTTTTGTCTGTTGAATAAACTCAATCTCCATAGATAAATTATCTTCATCTTTGTATTCTGGTCTAATCTGGACAGTGTTGGTCTGATCTGCTGGGATTTAATGTTGGCTGTACTGGTGGTACTGTTTTTTTTGGTCAGGGTACTTGATGTAAACGCTTGACGCTTTGAGACATGAGTGATCTGGACTGTGGGCTGGACCCAAAGCTGACCACGTGGTCCAGTGCCTGCACTGTCCACTGTCCTGTGGGCCCAAAATAATTGTGTCCCAGGCCATTTTTTGGTCCACGACCCTTCAGTTTGACATGTATGTTTTTTCAGATGACTCATGCAGCACTGGACTGAGCTCCACGGTGGCTTCATAAACTTCAACTCAGGAAGTGATTATTTCTGCCACGTTTATGATCCCGCTCTGTTATCAGAGTTGAAGCAGGTTCCACGGTGAGGATTTAAGACTCCGTCACACCCTGGTGTCCTTGAGCAGATGTTCCACAGCAGACTCGCTGCTGCACTCAAACCGGCCGCGGTCCAGGAGAGCCTACAGACGCACTCTTTTATGAGGCTTCTGATTGATGATGAAGAGCAGAATTAAAATAAAACACAAACAATAAAAACATCCCAGGCCGCGCTACAAATAAAGCAGGCAGTGCATTATGGGATGCGGGCTCTGTGGAGAGATTTATTTCTTTACAGGCTGATTTTGTTTTTTTTCCTGCTCCTCCTCAGGTTTCTTACGGGTCTTAAACCATAAGATGTGCAGCTCATATTAATTATAGTGTGAACGTCCTCTGGAGAGGAACCAACATGAATCCTGGCTTGTTTGTCACAGCTTTTCCTCTCTGCAGGAGGGTCAGCAGGGAAATGTTGCTTTTATGTGAAAACGTCCGTAAAGGTAAACTTTATGGATGACGTGTGGGAATAGCTTTGGTGGTTGTGCGTGTGTGTGTGTGCAGGTTTGTGGAATGATCTCCAGGAGACTTGGGACATGGCTCAGCTCAGTTAGTGACCTGTCTGTGACCTTGACACAGCAGCTAATCTTCTCAGCGGAGACTAAAAACCACACTGAGCTGTGGATTCTGCAGCTTTGGCCGAGGTGTGACCACTAACACCTGCTTGGACAGCAGAAATACAGATGTCTGCAGTCGGCCGGCTCCTGTAATCTCTGACCTGCTGAAGACGGCGACACTTTAAATCTTCCTGATCACTCACATGTGCAGAAATACAGTCTCAAAAGTCAGAGGACAGAGAGAAATGTGTTGATAATGTTCTCCTCTAGAGGCAGCACTGACCTCAGGCAGTGGCCTGCTGCTTTAATCTGGATCTCATGTAGGGGGAAAAAGATTTAAAAACAGCAAAGACAGGTAAAAAATGAGCTCAGGAAAAATAGAAAGTGGAAAGTTAAAAGAATTAAAGATTAATTTTTGACAAATTTAATTAAGACAAAAATCTTTTCTTTTTTTAAAAAAAAATTTAAAAGAATTAAAGATTAATTTTTGACCAATTTAGTTAAGACAAAAATCTTTTTTAAAAAAAAAGGCACATGGGCTGACAGGCCTCCACAACAATAATAATAATGTTTAGCTCATGTAAAATAAATAAAATAAACAGTAAAAGAAATTATATATATTAAAAAAAAAACACAACACTAAGTAGACCTTTGGCATCATCCTAATTTGAGCTAAGAAACAGTGAGGACATTTGGACAAACGTGTCCAGGAGGAAAGAAGGTTTGACCTCTGATGTCACCTTAAACATTTTAGCTCAATGACGTCATTACACAGTTTTCTTAGACCTGAGGTAAGAACTAAACTTCCTCTTCGTCATCCTCGCTGCTGTGACTCTGCATCGTCACCAGCAGTGTATCCTATTCTCCACTAGATGGCGAAGTGGCGTCGTAGTTGATGTGCGTTCCTGCTGCTCATCAACATCTGAGTCAAACCTGCTCTGTTTCTTTCTTTTAGTCAGAATTTTGAACGATTTTCCTTCACTGCTTCACCGTGGAAACTTTAAAACATAAAAACTCACTTTAACTCGGCGTTTTACTTTGAATAATTGACTTCTTTTTAGTAAAAACCTCACCTTCTGCAGAGAAAACCACCAATCTGTGACGTTAGCACACACACACACACTCAGACAGATGAGATAAAACGTCTGCAGATGGAGGAGATTCACTAAAATAAGTTTACAGAAAAAAGTGTGAAATCCACTGCAGTTCTGGTGTCGATTACAGTCCATACATCTTACTCCTCTGACTCCTCCTCCTCTCTGACTCCCAAGCACTGACACTGGGACTAAATGCCACAGATTAGAAAACCTATTTTCGCACAGAATCACTGCAGCTCGTTTCTGCTGCAGCCTCTGGTACCGATCCCTGAAGGTTCTAAGATAGAGGAGGAGTCTCTGCGTCAGATCTGAAGATTAAAATGAACCAACAAAATAAATAAACCACGGTCGCTAGAACAATAAATAATAATAATGCTGCAGGAAATGCCAGTTTATATATATATATATATATACAGATATATATGGATATATATCCATTTGATTCTTTATAACAATTTAACTGAATAAAACTATTGGTTGTGTTGCGTCAACAGGTGGCAGGAGTGAAGAACGTCTTTTATAAAGTTTCTAAAATAAACTGATGTCAACTGAAGCCAAGCGGGGAAAAAAAAACATGATCAAGAAGAGTCGTTTATTTAGAAGTTGTTTCTTCTGTGTTGTTTTAATTGGGTTCATGTAAAAAGGCGTGTGTGTGTGGGAGGATGAACGAAGGTCAGGGTGATGGATGTGACGGAGCTCTGGGAGGATTTGTTGTTTATTAAAATAAGGCTCCAAAGTCCGAAAAAGGACCAGAAGTAGACAGTTTAGGAGACAACTTCTGTGGTCCAACATAAGGCCTCTTTTTAACCACACTGTGGACCAGTGATCCAGTTCAACATGTGTCCAGTTTGTGATGTGGGTTAGATTTTTACATAGACCACTGAACGCACCAATGAAAAGGCTGAGTCTTCACAGCAGTTCCTTAGTCTCTTGACATTTAGACACACACACACGCACACACACACGGAGTCAAAATCATAATTAGCATGTCACTGCCATGACCTTGAGGGGAAGTGAGAAATATCAGTTTCCAAGGCGACACTGACTGGAGTTTTTGCAGCCCATATTTCACATTGAGTCCTAATGAATGTGCAGCGTGGGTAATTTTGATTGAGTACCGGTCCGCCTCTGGGATAATGAGTCTGACGCTTCTGAGCTGATGTGATGACTTGATGACGATGGATTTGCTTATTTATCCGGAAATTTGCTCCACTTCCAGTTCCTTCATGAAAACATAATTAGCTCCATGACACGTCTTAAAGCCACGGCGCTGATTTTCTTTCATTGGACTGGGACGTGGCCGCAGCCAGAACCTCACACTTCACCGCAGAGTGGTGTGAAATATTAGTGTGAAGTTTTTGGGCCTGTTGTCAAGGCGGCTTCTCTGTCTTTTCTCATTTTAACCTGTGAGTTTTTGAAAGTCTTGGGTGGAAGTGTTTGGAACGGTGATGAGTTGAGTTGGATTTCTTTCGGTGTTTTTGTTCTGGAGCAAAATTTGGAATGATGTCCTTACCTTGACTTTTGTTAACTTTGTTAACTAGTGTAACTTAGATGTCTCCACTGTTGTATTGTTGTGATACTTTCTTGTCATTTTAGCTCCTAGTAGATTGTTGAAAATGTGTAATCACAGTCAGTACCTTTCTCCATGTTCCTGTTCATGTCAGAGCTGCAGCAGTCGTTGTCCCGCCGTGCTCTAATTGGTTGATGTGCTTAAATAAGAAACCCGAGTAATGTGCCGTAAGTATGAAACAATAACCGGCCTAGTAGGGCTGTAACGATTCACTCAACTCTTGATATGATACGATATGATTCAAGATAATGGATTTTATCTGTTTAAAAAAAAAGAGTATATGATCTACCTGATTATGATCTACCTGACGTCTTGGTTTAATCACAACCAATGTGTTTAGGCACATACTGCCCCCTGCTGTGCTAGAATGTGTAGTGTTATAGTATGACCAGTGACTTCTTGAGATATCGCAGCCTATTCCCCCGTGCCTTGACGTGCGATTCTTTTTTTCATTTCAACCGATGCAAATTGTCACGCATTTGTATCGATTTTTAATCAACTGATAATGCATCGTTACATCTTTGGCACCGCCTAGAACCAGGTTTATCCAACGCACACCACTGATAACCATTTAATGACTTTCAGCTTAGTCACAGATGATGTTTGGCTCCACATATGGAAATAAGAAAACATTTTCACAGCCACATTAAGCCACCATCGTATGAATGTATCGACAAATGAGTTCTGTTCAGGGTCATTTCACCGCCAGCGCCGGCTAATTTCAGCCTCTGCTATAACCGCGTCGGTAAAAGTTGACTCTGGCAGAGAACGCTCTGCTTCGGTGCCAAAGTCATTAAATGTGTTTTTAAGAGAAACGTGGTTAAAAATGAAAAAGGGAGAGGAGAGAAGGGTGAGCTGGAGGAGAAAACCTTCATGAAGATACATTCCTCCAGGGAGAGGCATCGAGGTTTATAGTCAACTATAAACCTTTCAGCAAAAATGGGATGGAGTATTGACTGGAGTAAAAAAAGGTGGATTAAATCCTTCACACAGATTATGACACCTGCAGGAATGATGGTAAATTCTGCCGTCTTACTCACTGAGTTTGGTGGCCACCACAGAGATGTTGTGCTGGGCGATGCTCTCCCTGTCCAGCAGCTCGTTGGTGGAAATCGTACCTTCAACCGGATCGATATCAAAGTAGCTGTCCATGTCACTCTTCCAGTCGATGGAATACCTGCAGGAAAATGTTTGTTTAATGGCGCTCATTTTCTCCATAAAGCATAAAATTAAACCACATTATTAGCCCCCCCACACTCCCCCGACCCTGAAAGGCTCATGAATTAGGTGTAATAAAAGCCTTGGCGTCGCCTTCATTACTCATTCTCATTTGGTCATTTTCCAGGAAAATGTGCTGAGGACGGCAGAAGCATTCTAATCCAATAATGGGCCACGTGTTCTGTGGCTGCGGCCCTGCTGAGCAGACGCTTTCCTGGGGAACATAAATAAAAATTTAGGCTCCTGGGCAGACGTGTGAGTTTCCACATGGTCATTGGAGAAACCACTGGCTTTGAGGGAGAGTTCAGGGCTTCTTTAAACATGCGTGTGTCAGTTAATCAGACATTATCATGGCTGATTTGCCTAAGTTGCCCAGCCGGACCAATGTTCTGCCTGACTGCATGCTCGCCTCCTGGCAGGAAGTGAAGGAGGCGCAGATAACGGCCCGCTTGTCCCACGGCCGCTCTCATTGAATCAGTAGAAGTTTCTGCTCAGTGTTTCCATTAGACGGCCTTGAATTTGGGCTAGAAACTGGTGTCACTAAGGAAACTGGCATTTTAGATGAGAGTGAAAGGATAGAATTGTGTCATGTACAGTGAAAAAGAAGATTTGTTCTAATAAAATTGAAATATTAATGTTTCCGGTCAAAATCTGTGCCAGTTTGTGTCGTTGTAACAACCTTGATTTTTTTTCTATGACACCAGTTTCCTTTGCTTAAAAGATTTTTTTTTTAGTACAAAAATTCATATTTAACAACATTAAGACTTCGTATGAGAAATGGAACATTTTTCAGGCATGCGTATTCTTCTCATTGTTCTGGTACTTTTTTTCCCACCAGGTTCTTGAACAGTGAGAGCAGTCAAGGTCAGTGCTGATGATGTATTATTACCTCATACAAGAGCACTTCAAACACCTGAACTATCCCTTTAAAAATGGCACTTTGGTGAGTGAGGGAGAGCAGAGGGTGAGGCGTCCTTCTCTGTGAATTGCATTTGTTCTGAATGCAAACAGAAATTCAAACGACGGAGCGAGAGAAGGGGAACGGGAGCCAGATCTGAAACCGGAGCACGCTCGGCTGACAGCGCCATTCATCAGCACATGCTATTTGATCTTTAAAGGCAGCTTTTTCATTAATAATTTTGTCGTCATCATCATCAGCGCTGGCGGAGTTTCCCTGAGGAGAAAATATGCCGTTGTCTTTTTCTTTTTTTTTACCATACTCTCCTTCACAAAGAAGGTCAAGGGTTGTGGGGGGGAGGGGGCGGAAGTGTTGTCACGCCCTGGGCTTCTTTCCTCATCGAGACCCTTAAATTCTCAAGGGCTCGTGATGGGATGTTTCAAATAAACAGCCTCGTTCTGACATTCTTCCTTCTTCACATGGCATTCCATTTGATCTTAAAAGGCCGCTCCTCATTAATATTTATTTCTCCTGTTGTTTTTTTCCCCACTGCACAGGCTGAAATCTGGACTTCACTCACTTGTTAGGGGGTGAGGGGTGAGGGGTGTGGGGTGAGGCTGTTGGCCTAAAGTTGTTGTTCTCTGATGAATCAGTTATTTTTAAAAAAAAGAGCAAAGTTTGACTCTCAGTTCGTGTGTCTGTAACGCGGTGCACTGCGCCGCCTCAGAGCCAACATGAAAATGTCAAAATAGTTTCTTCTGCGTTTCTGTGATAAACCGTGCAGCTGAACTCCCATCAAGGACTTCAGACATCAGCGGGTTCCCAATGAACTGGGAATTAATTCAGACGAATAGTCAACGACCACAGCTGTGGATACAATGCTTTCTCCGACCACTATGTGGCACTGTGGTGCCGGAACTAATACTACTTGTTATATTAGGCTGATTCCATATTTTCCGGACTATAAGTCACACTTTTGTTTTATCGTTTGGCTCGGTTTGCTCAGGTGGGACTTGTCTGTTAAAATATATAATTTTACGTTTGTTTATTTTCGCACTGACAGGTTCTGAGCGTCCTGCGATCAGGAGAATAATTCTTGTCTTTCTTTGTTTTTCAGAATCAACCCCCACCGTGTGTCTCTGCCCAGAACAGGTTTTGTCTGGAGACACAGAGGAACCGATGTTCTGACTCAAATCTACAACTGGCCTCCAACAAATCATCCAACAAACATCTCTGAGAACTTCTGAAAACCTTGACCAAGGTAGAAATAGAGTGAGTTAAATCTGAAACTAAAAGATGATCAGGTGAAATGTGAAGATCAGATCTGTGTGGAGACGGCTGTTATTGTTGTTACTGTTCACTGTGGTCAAGGCCACGTCTTTAGAAACACGTAGAAAATGGGTTTTGACTCGAGGATCAACGCAGATCAGGGCCAAAAGTCACGACTAAATATGGACAGAGGAAGTTAAGTGGTAAAAGACAAAAGACGATCTCTGGGTCCAGGTGAAAGAAGTGCACTTAAAAATGAATGTATGCTTTTTCTCCAAGGTCTATATTCGCTGCTCTCTCTCTCAGGTTGAGTGCTTCAGATCGACCGTTCTCCTCTGATGTGCTGCTCTGCTCTAATGTAGAACTACAGTTTGTTTGCACCTGTGTTTTAGTTTGAATATTTTATTGACACCAGAAAAACTAGAAAACAAAGGGAAGATGGGGGGAAAAAAATCAGATGTTTGAAACAGGCTTCGACCTCCGCTCTGCAACTTAGTCTCTCACTTTTTGTCTGGTCTGAATTTTAAATCTTCCTCCATATCAGAGCAGACGTTGTTCATCTGTGAGCCTTCAGAGAGCGGCAGTGCACTTTTCACTGCAGAACAATAGACCCCCGTGACCCATCATGCATAGGGAATCATGCTTTTAGACTTCAGACTCTTCTGGTCCTGGTGTTTGGGCGCTGATGCACCGAGGACTTACCTCTGGGGGAAAACAAAAGGGCGAAGGATGAATACTGCATTGTTGGGCTTTTCTAAAGATCTGCCCCGAGTTTTGAAGGAGTTCCAAACGTTACGTTCTGGCCTGGGTCTAGAATAACACAATAAGACACAGAAGTCACAGACGAGACGCCGCGGCCGTGGACTCCACAGGCTCTCCTTCAGCTCTGAGACTTTAAACCCTGAAAAATCAATAAGTGAGGAAAATAAACTCACAGCCATCTTCTCCTTTTCCCTAAATTACCTTAATGTATTATACTTAGTGCTCAGCAGGGCTGATTTAACAACACTGCAGCACAAAGCAGGAGATAAGGCCGTAATTAATTTTTATATCTTCAGCCCTCAGCACTGAGTCAGGCCTATAAGTAAAGGCCTGTTGTTTCTCTCTCGGCTGTTGATGAGCCTGTGCTTTCTTTAAGGAAATGTTGAAAATTGATTTAATTAGGACTAAGGATAAAGAGCAATTCATGTTTTAATCTTATATCGATTCTGCCAAAGCAGGGAGGCTGCAGGCAGCAGCAGTCGGGCTCAGGCTGGTCGGAATACAGATCAGCGTTTGATCCAAGTGACGACAAACGCAGCCAAAAGTCAGTCAGAAATATGGGAGACTTTAAGTGAGAGTGACTCCAGTGTGTGAGGAAAAAAACAAACAAACACAAAATGTTTCATGAAAATGAGTGACTCTTCTTCATTTTCATTTTTTGCAAATGTTAATTTACTTTCAACCCCAGCTGTTTTTGGCTCAGTGATTGGCTCAGAGTTTTCACACTGGAGGCACAACCCTGACCCTAGGATCTGGTTTCAAACCTAAAACCTTCTGGTAACAGTGTATTTTAAAAAAAACAAAAAAAATCCCAATGCAAATAGGCAACTTTTTTAAATGTGTCTTGTTTTTGCTCCAGGCCTCTTCAGGTTGATTAGCATATGTGCTTTCTTTGACTGTTCTAAACCAATCGGCTGCCTGTTAAACAAGAGTGACGTGGCTACGATGAGCCACAGGAGTGTGAGTGACTGGTGAGCAGCTGTGTTTGAGGACGGACCAAAACAACCTCCTGGCTTTTACAACTCAAATCATTGTTGGTTTTATTTCTCTTTAAGAACTTGAATTACCCTCCTAGTAGAATTTGACATTTTTTTAAATGTCAGTCTGAAGCAGTCGTTTATTTTTACTCGGACAAACATTATGGTGCTTCCATTTTTGGGTATTGGCGCTACATAAGGATGAATGTCACTCTTTATGGGGACGAAAGTCAAAACATTATGTTTGGGATGAGACGCTACAGAAACGTCCTACTTCACAGCCAAACATAAGAAATTCAAACTGGATTTGTGAATCGTGGAGACCCGTAACACCGACGACTGTGGCGCGACATCACCTCGAGTTCCTGACCTGCACAGACCGTCCGCGCTCTGTGTCAGATGTTCTGCACAGATTGATTAGACGAACAGCTGATGAGTAGAGAGTGGCGATGCTCTCCACGTTAAACCACCGCTGACGTTGATGAATGGATCGGAGTTTTAAAACTGCTTTCATTATCACGCGCTGCAGCCTGGACCTCCAGGCCCCGCTGGAGATCTGGTTTTAATTGTGAAGTGGATCCAGATGAAGACGTCCTGGTGGACAAGTTCAGTCACTGCACTTTTCATTAGACACACTGGCTAATGTCCATGTGATTCACACAGCACTTGTCGGGACATGGTGGAGGAAGAAGTGTACGGTATGCCTTACAGCAGGAAGGTCGCCTGTTCGAACCCAGGTCTTTCCAAGTTGTCTCCAGTAAAGTGTGAATGCTTGTGTGAATGGTTGTGTGAATGGTTGTGTGAATGGTTGTCCATGTGACCCAGACATTTGGGTTGAGTGTGAGATATATTTTAATCATGTGAGAAATGTTGAATATTTTTTATGAGATGAATAAAAAAGGGTAGAATAATAAATCTAATGTTTAATCTTTAAAACGTTAGAAAAGTAATAATTTATTTATTTCCTATTTTCTCAAAGGCGTCGGTTGTGATTTAAGTCGGTGATGTTACGTTTTCTTCATTGTCTTCTTAACATCAGTCCATCAGTTTGTTTCCCAAACCAAGGCCTGGACTTGAAAGCCTCAAACAGGAGTTAATGAGATTAAAGCAGCGTCACTGCAGGTAAATCATATATGAACAAAAGAATGGCTCCGATTCTGATTAATGACTCCTCAAACTCCCAGCTCTCCCCTCACTCTGTGTGTACCGGCAGAAAAGCACCGTTGGCACCGAGTCCATTATTTCAGTGAGAAGAGTTTAACTTTACCTGACTGGACTGCTGCTGGCGTCTAAATCCTGGGCTGTCACCGCTCCAATGACGGTGCCTGCAGGCGTGTCTTCGTACACATCCATCACATACGAAGGCTTATTGAACACCGGGGGCTCATCCACATCCAGAACGTTAATCTTCACCGTGGCTGTGTCTTTGAAGGCCCCAAAGCTCTGGAACCGTGGATCCAGATGAGAATTGGAGGCGTCTACTTTAAAGGTGTACGACTTTTTGGTTTCGTAGTCCAGAGGCTGCCAGAGAAAGAACACAGAGAAGGAGGGAGAGTTAAAGTTTGTTTTACAACTGCCCGGGGTTTAATCAGACGAGACTGCCAAGAAAAACACAAGTTAATGTGATAAATTTCTCTGAAACCTGGAGATCGATGGAGTTCAACCAGAGGAAAAAGTTTCAATGGATCTCACATTTTCTGACTTGGAGCTGTTTTTTGGCTAGCTCTTTGCTACAATTAACTTTTCTAATGAATTGATTAATTAATCAATTAGTTTATTTGCATTATTCAACTATTAATGTTTATATACCCCAAGGCATGGGTCCCCAAACCCTGGTCCCTGGACCAGTACCAGGCCATTGGTCATTGAGTTCCAGGCCACAGTATATACATGTATACGTGTATGAAATGTGATGGGATTAATTAACATCATAATATAATCCAACATTAATCCAACAACATGATCATCTGGACAGATTATAAATATTGTTTCCTCCAGCTGTAACCATGACCACAAACCAGACAGAAACCAAACATCCAGAAACGTGGAGTGCTGAAGTTGATACGTTAGCGTTCCTGTGTGACAACGTTCCTGACCTGGGAATACTCTCGTCATTATCCACAATCTTCATAAAAGCACAGCACAAGCTGTAGAACCATCAGTGTGGTTCCCATAAACACTCCAGCTCTAAGACCGGGCTTTCGGTTGTTTTCAGTCCATAATTGAATCATTTTGTAAAGAGTTCCGACTCTCGTTGTGCACTTTGGTTTGTCCTCAAAGCTCCGAATGAAAATTGAATAAGAGCATCTGTGAGGAGCGCGGTTGTTCTCTGCTCACCGCCGCGTTCGCTGCCTTTTTGTTTCCAAGAGTGAGTGACAGCAAACAGATGTCCGCGTCGCCCTCTCCAAGTGTTTGGTTGAATTCCAGCATATTTGCATCTGAAGCTTTGGAATGAGAGACTCTGATATCACTGTTAATTATGTCCCAGGATCCTGGCAGAGAAACTGGTGGAACTGTTCAAAATAATGTCTTTTATTAAGCACTGATGTTGCTTAAGGTTGCACCGTTAAAAGTACCAGCTGGCATAAAGGAAAGCCAAAAAGATTTATTTGAAAAAATATTAAAATAACAGCAAAAGGTTAGCCAACGTGACGCTCAAACTGTGTCTATACCTCGAACAAAATCATTCAAAATAAATCTCTAATCCAAACCTTGTCAAAAAGAAACAGTTGGAAAAACAGCTAAAAAAACATAACTGTTGACGGTGTATGTGTGTGTGTGTATGTGTGTGTGTGATTCCACAGGATCATGTGTTTTTTCCTGCCTTCCTGGTTCAGTGGAAACTCAGCCCTGCACCTTAGTTCCTCACCTCACTGGGGGACATCGTATGTGCTACACCTTTAAACCGCTAACAGAACAGCTCAGGGTCAATTAGTCAACATCACAGGGGCGGCGTCGACATCCTGGACGTGGCCGACGCCGAGCTGTAAACAACCGGCAGGCTGTGACTCCTCCGCCCGTCTCCTGCCTGCTCATGTGTGACCGACTTGAACTTGGCAAGCGCGCTGTCGGTCACGCACCACTGACCCGCGGTCACATGAGAGACAATCCTTTTGGCGTGTTTTCAAATTGACTTACAACACATGAGCTGCTACAGTAGCAACGCTATCGCTGCGCTCCAGGATGTTCTGCTGTCAGGACTCACCCAGGCTCAGTGTCAGGGACTGACTGTTTATGGGGTTGAGGCCGGTTTGAAAAAACAGTCCTGTTTGAAAAAGACTTTTTAAACAGTACCAGGATTTCAGCATTTTATTAGAGGTATATGTTTATATATGTATAAATAGATGTTTTTCCATTGCTGACATAGAGACTGTGATGGGAATGAATTAATGAGCAGCGTTGTGTGTGAGACGACTACAGATGATCGTCTATCCAAACTGAATTTATATGAATTAGAGATAATGACTAGAGTGTGATCAGTGATCAGAGTCTGTTCTGTAGTGATTTCACAGGATGGAAAAACACAACAAAAAACAGATGTTTCTCCAGTTTCCACCGTTTCTTCCTTTTCTTATCTCCATGGTTTCACGTTCTTCCTGCGGCAGTCGCAGGTGCACGTGGGAAAAAAAACAAAAAAAACAACAAAAAACCATCATGAACTAAAGACAGAGAGGTTTGTGAGGAACAGCCAATCTGAAACCAATCACTGACCATCAACCTCCGTGATTGCTTTGATTACAGTGTGCCAGAAGAAAGTGTCTGGGCCGCAGCGCTGAGATCCTTCAGAGGGGAAACTCACTCTGTCCCTTTCAATCAGCGTGAAGACGCAGCGGTGGACGGAGAAGACGGCGAGGCCAAACCGTGCACACAGGAACTGGATCCATCACAGGTGACATTCAAAGCCTGAACTTTTCATTAAAACACAGGGATTTCCTGTCAAGTCAAACCAACAGGTGTGGACGGAGAGGCACGGGAGACGTTTCACTCGGTGTCTGTCACGGTTCCTCTGGGGCAGAACGGTTCCGTTCAATATTAGCATTTACGTCTTTGAACACTTTGTTTGGTCTCGTCACAGGAAACAATGATTTAAATTCTCTATTCTCCTCTAATGGTGAAGGAACAGTACTTTGTATTGGACTCAGTAAAAGTACTGGTACGTGAATTTCTACAGCTAGCTAGTTCCACACTTTCTCCCAAGTCTTATCACCGTTGGCGCTAACCTTTAGCTTCCAAAACAATTAATTTTTTTTTTTTTTTAAATAGAATGACGACATCAATCTATGGTTCAGGGCCTAGAGCGCCACCTATTCCAGATACTGGCATCTGACTGACAACTATGTGGAAATGTTTTCTTTATCTCACCGTCTTTCTGATAAACTCCAGAATCCCTGTCCTCCGTCTGAGCTGAGTTATGGTCCACATGTTAGCTCTGGTCCTGTCCCCTAATTAGACAATTACACAGCCACTCATTACCAAATTAACTGAGCTGTCCTGATTTATTCATGCAGACCATTTCACGGCCGCTGCAGTGTTTCATCAGGACTGAAAATAAAACATTAAATCACAGCTTATAAAAAAAGATTTGTCATCACAGGGAGAAATTACGGCTCATTTCTGGAGACGGCAGAAATCTCTCTGACACAAACCACCATATGATTAAACCCGCAAATTAATTTACATATTTGGTTTTTAGGAATCAGTGCTGTGTCAAAGTGACTGTGGATCAGTGGGACGGTCCACGTTTGTGCTGGATAAATGTTGCTAAAGAGGAGTAAAATGAGGCCAGCAGGGGGTAATGAGAAACTCCGAGTTAATGAGAAGAAGAAGTTCTCCTGTGTCACCACTAGATTTGTGAAGAATCAAATTGGATCTGAAGGCCGTGGAGGAAATTTCCATAAAAGTAAAAAAGGAAAGAAGGAAACGGTCATTCCTGCCGAGTTAAAACGTGTTTTATGTTTTATTTCTCCATCTTTGAGTTATTCCTACGATTAAACAGGATCGCTGTGGAATTAGTGAAGACGTGACTTATGAAGTTTTACTCAGTTTTAAAAACATCTAACAACATTACCCTGAGAGTGAAAGAAAAAAAACAGGATATAACACAAAAATAAAATGTTATGATTGTTAAACGCTGTGGAATTAGTGAAGACGTGACTTGACTTGACGTGAGGCAAAGTCTTTTTCAGAAAAATTCTTCAGAAACCAAGAAAACAATTCAACGTTTAAAGAAGAAAAACCTTTATAAACCAGACCTGAAAAAACATTAAACCTGTATCTGCCCCAAAATTGGCCCAGGGGCCGGGCTTTGAACACAGCATCTGTTTGAGTAAGCTTCGTTTTAAACCTTTAAAATGTTAAATGATTTGTTTAAAAGCCCGACTGTCTTCTCAAGTGGCTGCTGACGGAAAAGGAAGTGTACGGAGAGAACAGAGCGAGTTCCTCTGATGTCACAACCGCTGCTCTTCAACATCACAACAGAACGCAGTTGAAATTCCAGACATGGAGCTCGATGCCCTTTGATATGTAAATGTGCACCTTCGCTGCACCGACCACAGTCTCCCTGAGTGAAGGAGTCGACTCAGCTCCTCGCTGAACCACAGCGTCCCTTCATGTGGGACAGAGGGACTAATCAGGGGAGACACGCGCTCACTCAGGTACTCACAGGAGCTAACAGCGCCCCCACATCGTCTGAAACCTTTGTTCTCAAAATGAAGCGGCAGCAGCTGTGATTTACTGTGTGATTTAAATGATCCTCTTTAAAGGAAAACTGATGATAAAGCACAGCTGAAAGACAGGTGTATTCTAGTGGTGTTGGCTATCTTTAGCAATTTGTGTTCTTTACACTGTGTGACAGAATTCCTTTCTGGGTTTTCACTGACATCTGGCTCTTTGGAGGTTGATTTTGGACTGAACTTTACTGACTGTTTTAGTAGCTTCTCTGTGAATCTGTGTGTGTGTTGATTCTTGGAGCAGAACAACAACAATGGCTTCAATATTCCTTTGGCTCTGATACAGGGAACTGACTTCCACTGAGTGGTACCCAGGGGTACCCGTGGTTGACTTTCACCTTGAAGAGTCAGTATCAGAGTATCACAGACAGCAGCCAGGCTTTAACAGGATGATTTCCGTTTTGTTGCTGCCGCACCTGCGTGAAGTGGCTGATAATTAAGAAGTGTTTAAACTCTGATACGCGGCTTGGCCTTTAAATCCATTAAAGCTCAGTTTTATGTATTTACAATACAACTTATGAATCATTAACACCCACTCGCTGGCCTGATTCCCCTGGGAGCAAATCAAAGCTCAGCAGAAACGCGCCTGGAATAAAACACTGCTTTAATTACAGCAGTCAGAGAAGCGGCCACATCGTTCCCCTCCAACTGAGGCTCCGGGACACGCTCCTGTGTTTCCTCTTCCAGAGAGGTCAGAACGTCTTCATCTGTCCTGACAGAGACCAAAACTGAAGCCTGTGTCCGTGGGGTCACAGCATGAAGACGTGTCTCAGATTGAGAGATTAGCAGTTTTCACTGAGTCGACTCTCCTCAGCAGCAGGAGCGTAAGCAAGCCTCAAGGGGGCATCCAAGTCACCTTGAAGATGGACACCTCCTCTGGGGGGCACTAGTTCACTGTCAGTCACCCAACACCTGTCAGACGTTCTTAAAAAGGTTCTGTTCTTGATGAAGATGATCCAAGTGGTCCTCGTGATGTGACCTTCTGCCTCAACGGTACCTTTACCAGTCTGCAGATCCTCCACCTAGATCCTCCACCTAGATCCTCCACCTAGATCCTCCATCCACCACAGATGGACGCGAAGCCTTCAGGGAAAATCTCATTTCCTGTCTTCTAATAATCGGTTTCACCACGAGATGAGGGTCAAGACTCCACTGGTTCACTTCACCGTCGCCTCCACACATTCATTTCTTCATCACCTCCTTCAACACCGCCTCCTCTGTGATTCTTTGTCACTTTTTTTTACCTGCATTGGTTCTTAGTTTCCGTCAGCCGCCAGCAGTCGTACACAGACAGCCGTGTGTGCTAACGTTGCACCCCCGCCCAGGCGACCGGTGAGGTGATATTCATCTACGTCCGACACCTGCTTCTTCCTGCTGTTCACAGCTATTGTTCCTGTCTCCCCCACCTCCTCCTCCTGACTCCCTTCACACCAGTTCCTGAAATAACGAATTTATCCTCCCACCGTCTCATCCACTGCTGTAACAGTAGTTTGAATCAGTCTGCTGGTGTCACGCAGCTGGATCTACTTGTACATGTACTTTTTTTGTTTGTTTGTTTTTTACCTGCAACATCCGGCAATTACAGCCGGTATAGAACTTACCTGAGTTCAGGGACTTGGCTCGAGGTAAGGATGAAGGTGTCCTTGTGTAAATGCTAATCTATATTAGCCTGGAGACCATTGTGCTCTTTAGTATTCAGCCTACACTCTGGGCTGCTTTCTGGCCTTCAGTCAGACCAACAGTCTCTTCATTACTTCTGTCTCTTGGCCATTAGACTTGGTAGAATCTCATTGAGACTGAAGAGGCAGTAACAGCGCGGGCTGTGTGAAATGATTTACTGTTCAAACGGCCGACTAATGACATTTCTGATAGAGAAATTAGACTGCAGTCACTGTCTGGTTTTAGTGAAATTAAGTCTTTAATTGATGGCAGGGAGGACGGAGGCGGCTGCCAGTGGCTCCGAGTAGAAATGAGGCCACGTTTGAGCTCAGGCAACGCAGGCAATTAGTCGCAATCGTTTTCCATGCAAATGTTTATCAGTTTGCACTCCGGCGCATTCTTTAAATGTCACGCATCATCAGTCATTTAATGTGCTGCTGTTTGGAAATAGAACATAATGATGTCTGCTCGTTACAGCTTTATGATGCCACTTTTTTCTTGTTCTGTTTGTTTTTAAAGAAACATTTAAGTATTGAGAAAACAATAATTTAAGTAACTTATTTGACTGGAAAATGGTTTTTAAAACCTGGTCTGTAGTCTGTTTGTTTGTTTACACGAGTCTGAGATTCAGGAGTGAAGAGGAAACTTACAAGTCAACATTTTAACAAATGGGATAAAAAGTTCATCTTTAAAGGTTAAATGACCGAGGTTTCCAGCAGGGGGAGCTTATACCTGAACTCGACCTCTGACCCAGTTTTTGCCTGCCAGGAAAAAAAGAGTTTTCAAACCTTTTAGCTTCAGAGATACATGTTGCGGACTCAGCAGCTGTACAGAACCTGAGGTCTGCAACTTTACAGTCTCAGGAACGCCGGCCAACAGTTAATCCGTGTCTGCCAGTGCTGCAGACAAACTAAAGCATCAGTCTGTAAAAACCTTTTAGGTTCAGTGTAAATGAGGATTCAGTGCGTTGTAGTATTTATACCAAAACTGTACTCGGAAATATACGCGGTATTGTGTCTCAGTACTAACCACAGTCAAAAACAAGGGGCAGTGGAAACAACCTGAGTTCTACATAGAACGTCACTCAGGAAATCCAGCCTGTAACTGGCACACCGAGGCTCCAGGTGGCGCTCCTGAGTCATTTGCCAAGAATACTGCAAACGTCGAAAAGAGAATTTCGTTTTTTTTTTAAATTGATTTTTTTGTTCAACGTCGAAAAGAGAATTTCGTTTTTTTAAATTGATTTTTTTGTTTAGGCATTCTTTTTCCTTCCCTCCCGTGGAGTCGCCCTCTGGTGGTTATTTTGCACTGATGCCGTGTGTTTTCTCCACACAGTAGTGTGTGTCCTCACATGCTTCCTCCTGTAGCCTCTGTTTGTCGGAGAGCACTCAGGCTTTCCTGGGAGTTCTGTGCCGGATTTAACTATTGTCTCCCATAATCTTAGGTTTTGCAGATAGAGCAAACCTCCCCCCCCCATCTACCCTGTGCTCCCCCTCCCTGCCTTTGTCTGCAGCCATCACCCTCTGAACCCATTACTGGGCCTGATCCTCTTATCATACCCACCCTCTGCGAGCCTCTAATTTGGATTCTGCCAAATTCTGCTCTGTGTACAATACGGCTTAGGTCTGTGTCCTGCTGCTTCTGAGGCTGGCCTACAGAGAACGGGGGGGGGGGGGGGGGGGGGGGGGGCGAAGGGACTTGCTGGAACATATTTGCACACCTGTCTCTGAGGACATACCGCCAATCTGAAACGAGAGGAGCCCGTGGGCGGGTCGGTGTTTGAGGAGCGACTCATCTGCGGCGCTGAACTCCTCACACCTTCTCAGAGGCACCGCATGTTCTTCCTGCCAAATTCTGACACGTGTAGGACCACACATTGTTCTGGCTCTGAGAGAGCAGCTTACCTTACCCCCAACCGACCCCCCCCCCCCAACCTCCCATTAAACCAACAAAGGCTGTGCTCAGCCCTGTCCCTCTGTGGGGAACATCAGCTCACAGATGCAGCAGCAGAGTTTCAGACAGAGGAACTGGAACAGTGAGAGGAGAACCGTGTCCTGCTCATCCATCCTGAGTGGACGGGACACGACAAGAACAAATAACTCTCTTCATTAACATCCTAATTGTTCTCCGTCTTGTTCTTTTATCCCATTAGCGCCACAGAGGAAGGTCGCCACACCGTGATCTATGTATGAGCGCCATTTATAAACACACGACAAACGCTGCATGTACATTTACTCACTCAGCTGATCAGATGGAAGGAGTTTTTAATTTTAAAATTCCATCAAAATCTTTTTTTTAAATAGGATTTTCTTCTTTTTTAATAGAGAGTAGTTTTTTTTGTGTTGTTCCAACAATGACCTTGGGGTGGCAGTAGTCCTTGTCCACAGTCAAACTCAGTGTTTCTGAGTGTGAAGAAACTTCAGGGTCTGTAGTCCCTGGTACTATTTCCAGTGTTCCTGTTCCTAGTTTAGTACCAGGATCTAGTTCTTGTGGTGGAGGTACACTCTCTCTTTCTGTTGGAACTCTTTGCTTTGGCTAATATCAGCAATTAGTTCCTGGTACTCAACGTGGTTGCCATTAATTTGTCTGTGCTTCCTGGTACTATTTCCTTTGGTAGGAATCCATGTAAAACGCATGGTTCAGTTCTGACGCTGCAGTAGTTCTTGGTACCAGTTCTTTGTTTCTACTTCCTCACTTTTCACTTCTGTTCAGATTAACAACAACAACAACAACAACAACAACCAGAGGAGCGCTAAAAAAACCAGCAAAAATACGCCTTCCACAGGTAGAAACAGTGACACCTACAGCCTTCCCCTCACGCTGACATTTTCAAACTATACGTACCTTTTCAGAGGAGGCTGTTGAACCTTGATGAGACTTCACTCAGACCATTTTCACTCCCTGCTTCACGCCGCGCTCATAAATGCACATTACCCTCCCACCGCCATGGAGCTGAAAGCTTTTCAGCAGCCGAAGAAAAACAATATCACGCTCTGGCTTTACCACGGTGAAGCTGCTGGCTGAAAGAACGACCGGGGAATGATGTTTGTGTTTTTAGTTCTTTAACTATGAACATAAAGAGAGAGAGCGGGGATGTAGAGAAATGAGCAAACACTCCTAATGTGGCAGCGCGCGTGTGTGTCGGTGTGTGTGTGTGTGTAGAATAAAGCCGTAAAGTCATGTCTCCGCAGCATCGTACCAGGGAAGTAAACACTTCCTGTTGTCACTGGGGGCCGGGCTGAGGGATTGTTGTTAGTACGTCCACCCCTGCTGGTGACTGATGGTATGTGTGTACAGGGACACACTGTTCCTTGTAACTTTCATAGTTGTTAGTTCTGGTTACTCAGTCGCTTCTGTGCTGGTACTAGTTATTACTCATTTTTCCTGGTATTGTTCTGGGTACTGTCTGTAGTTCCTCTCATCAGCCTTCTGATTATTTTGGCATAAATAATAAAATAATAGTTCTTCATCTAGTACTGTTTCACCGTCTTTAGGCACTGGTACTGTTTCTACTTGCTGGTACATGTAACTGCAGTAGAAATACTCCTGGTACTGTTGCTAGTTCCTGGTACTGTATTGAAAGGGAATCTTAATTCACTCTTTAGTAGTGGAAAATCAGTTCCACTGTATAATCTTCCTTTGTCCTGGGTCAGAGTTTAGAAGCGCCGTCATCATTAGTACCTAAAAGTACTGGAGCGCCGATGGAAATGAAAAGGCGTCGTTTCATTCGCTCGTTCATTGGTGACACTCTCCTGAGGATATTAAGGTCAGGAGCTGAATCCAGGAGCGGAGCGTCATAATTTTTTAATAAAAACGGCCCAAAGTTAATAATGGATGTGACGATAAGTCTTATTAAAACCAGTCTATTAAGTCCTTTTATTACATTGGACTGGACTGGACTGGACCTCGTCATTTTCTCCATCCAATTTCAGCTCTGTGTCTGTAATGACCTCCACCTCCAGCACCGTCAGGGCTCGTGTTATGAAGGAGGATCTGTGGGGAATCATGTGGGAAGTCATTCCAGGGAGTCTGGAATCTGGCGTTTCACACCTCACTCCGGTGCAGAGATAAAAATCTGAGATTAGAATAGAATGTAGAATTGTCAGTTGGAGCTTGAAGGAGAAAGAAGAAGCCATCAAAAGGTCTGTTGTCTGTGGGTCAGTCGGTGCTGAATGTGTTCACCTGCGTCGGAAAAAGGAACAAAAGTCCTGGTAAATGAGGCCTGTCGTGGTGACTGAACGCTCCATGGACCTCAGTGGTTCAGAGAGATGGATGATTCTGCTCCGCTCTGAACTCTGATGGTGAGGGCAGCAAACAGTTTGACAGTTGACTCCAAACATCACACGACTTCAGGCTCCAGCAGTTCAGCTCTTCCATATGTTTGTGA